TCCACATCCTCTTTGAACTGCGGAGCCCAAAACTGGATGCAGTACTCCAGATGCGGCCTCACGAAGGCTGAGTACAGTGGGAGAATGACATCCCGGGATTTGCTTGAGAAGCATCTATGGATGCAAGCCAGAGTTTTGCTCTGTTTACTAGCCGCAGCATCACATTGAAGGCTTATGTTCATCTTGTAGTCAGTCATGACCCTCAAGTCCCTTTCATCTGTAGTGCTAACCAGTGTAGCACTGCTAAGCCTATAAGCATGGTGCAGGTTTTTCCTCCCAATGTGGAGAACCTTGCATTTTTCGGTATTAAACACCATCAGGTTCTCATCTGCCCATTTCACGAGCCTATCAAGATCTGCCTGCATCACCCTCCTGTCCTCAGGTGTGAATGCTTTACCCCAAAGTTTGGTGTCACCAGCGAACTTGGCCAGCCCACTTCTGACAACAGTGTCTACATCATTGATGAAGATGTTAAACAGTATAGGCCCTAGGACAGAGCCTTGAGGGACCCCACTGGTCACCACACACCACAATGATTGACTTCCATCAACTACTACCCTCTGGGTCCTGCCGCAGAGCCAGTTTCCCAGCCAGTGGATCGTGGTGAGGTCGAGGCCGCAGTTAGCCAGTTTTGCCAAGTGGTGATCATGGGATACCAGATTGAAGGCTTTTTGAAGTCAAGATATACAACATCAATCAACTCTCCCTTGTCCAGGTGATAGGTCACCTGGTCTTAAAAGGAAATGAGATTGGTCAAGCAAGACCTACCCACAACAAACTTGTGCTAGGTATCCCTCAGGATATTGCCGTCAGCTAGTCTGTTAAGGATGGACTCTTTGATTATCCTGGGGAAGGTCTTGCATAAGATTGAGGTCAGGCTGATGGGCCTGTAGTTTGCCAGATCTACTTTCCTCCCTTTCTTGAAGATAGACACCACATTGGCCTTCTTCCAATCTTTGGGCACTTCACCAGAGCACCAAGAGTTCTTGAAGATTCGTGCAAGGGGCTGAGCTATGATGCTAGCCAGCTTCTTGACTACCCGTGGGTGTAAACCATCAGGGCCAGCTGACTTGAAGGTATCCAGCCTATATTCCTTCATGAGGTCAGCTTTGATGGAGGGTAAGGAATCTCCCTCACCCAGGCTTCCCTGACCCACAGTGGGCAGGGGTGTCCCACTGGACTGGTGGAAAAACTGATGCAAAGTACCCACTTAGCAAGTTTGCTTTTTCATGGACATCCTTTGTCAGTTGTCCTATCTGGTTTAGCAGGGGTCCAATGTTGCCCTTGTTCTTCCTTCAACTCCCCACATATCTAAAAAGGGGATTTTTATTGTCCTTGATATTTGTAGCTAGCTGGAGTTCCATTGCAGCCTTGGCTTTCCTGGTTTGCTCTCTGCAGGTCTGGACCAGAGCAGAGTATTCCTCATCGATGGTGGTTCCAGTCCTCCATCCTTTGTAGGTCTTCCTTTTTAGACACAGGAGGTCCCCTAGTTCCATGGAGAGCCAAGGGGGCTGCTGTGCCTTTTTGCTGCCTTTCCTTTGAGATGGGATAGATTTTGCTTGTGCATCCAGGATTGCTCCCTTGAGGATCAGCCACTCATCCTGAACTCTGCTCCCCTTTAGGTTGTGGCCTTTTAGGGCCTCACTGACAAGCCTCCTTAGCTTGTCAAAGTCAGCTTTCCTGAAGTCGAAGACTTCTGTATTACTGACTTGCCAGCTTTACGGCAGATGGTGAAGGTGATCAGCTTGTGGTCACTGTCACCCAACTTCCCTTCAATCCTTAGGCCGCCAATTAGGTCATCCCCAGTTGCCAGTACCAGGTCGAGCAGCGCTTTACCTCTCATTGATCCGTAGACTTCCTGCATTAGATAGAGGTCATCCACACATGAGAGAGAGGTTTGTGACCACTCGGATTTAGCTGAGCACTCCTCCCATGAGATGTCTGGGTAGTTAAACTCAGCCAATTCCCTGGTAAACTCCTGGTGAAGGTCTTGATCTTGGGTAGGGAGTCTGTAGTAGACTCCCACCATAGTGTCCCCTGTACTGTGTTCCCCATGGATTTTAACCCAGAGGGTCTCAAGTCTTTCACCGTGGGTGCCAATGTTGGCTTGTAGGGATGCATAGCTTTCCTTGAAATAGAGAGCCCCCACCCCTTTTGTCCACTCGATCCCTCCTGTACAGGGTATAGCTGTCTATACCTGTGGCCCAGTCATGGTTAGAGTCCCACCAGGTCTCCATTATCCATATGAGATCATAGTTATTTGAGTTTAGCAGGAGGACAAGTTCTTTCTGTTTATTTCCCCAAGCTCATGGCATTTGTGTATAGGCAGGCAAGTGTCCCATTGTGGGCCCTGGCCTTGTCTACAGTTCATTCCAGGGCTGGGGCAGGGGTGGGTTCCCTTAAGTGCCTTGGCCTGCTGGCTTTGCAAGGGTTGCTGAGTGGGCCAGCAGTGGCAGTAATCCCCCCATCCCCTGGTGGGCTTAGTGTTGCTGCATTCTCCTCCACCTGCAACTTCTGGATGGTCATCAACAACAGCCCATTGCCCTAGTCTGTCCTTTTGGTGATGAAGGCACAGATTATACTAGAATGTACAAGTACAAGGCAGAAAGAACTCCAACTCACTAGCAGCTGGTAGTCTTATAACCATTAATGAACACAATCCTTGCAACACCACTCAAGTATTATTCTCAGTTTAGAAATAGGAACCAAAGTAGTATCATTCTATTATTATTATTATTATTATTATTATTTATTATTGTACAATAAAGGATTAAGTGTAGATTTTCAAGAGTGATAAAGTGATTTAAGCACACAAGTCCCACTGCTGTTCAGTGAGATTTTTGCTCTTCAATCACGATGATCTTTTTGAAAATTCCATTTGTCCAGTGTCACATGGAGTCAATAGCAAAGCAAGAAACTGAACCCAGTTCTTTCAAACTCTTCAGCTGTTGGTCAGAAGAGCTCTGTAGGATAAAGAATGGGATTTGTCAGATTGAAATAAGCATAATTCTGTTCTGGCAATTTCTCTCTTCTCTTCTTAGTAACTCTTCTCACTTGCCTTTCTTTTTGAAGCTGAATGTGGTTAATATACTTTCATGAACAGATGTACCTTGCGGGTTACAAACTATAATACACTGTTTCACAAGAGTTACCAAGCAGTGTTTTACTCTGCCCAGTGAAGGATGCTGTTATGCAAAATGACATACCCATATATCTACTAGTATAAGTAAGAATGCAGATTGGATATCTCACTTTGAGCTCAACATAACCAATCCTTCCAAGCTATTCAGTCTCTCCTAAGGTTACAGGATATGAAAAAAGTCTAAAATAGCTGGGCACAAATGACAGATACTTGTTCATGTTTTCTCTTTCTAATGATTGCTGAGAGACAACATTGCCTGATCAATGAAAGAGCTAATGGATACTAACAGTCTGGTAACCTTTTTAACAACTTCACCTTGTTTGAGCATTATAAATGCCAATTTCAGCCATAATAGATTGCCAGCCACAATGCAGAAGAGATGTAATTCTCATTAAAAATATCATCATTTGGTAGGGAACAACTTGGATTACATTGGTAAGCAATATAGTGATGCTAATGGTAAGGTGTGTCACCACTATGCATACATGGTTTAACAAAGGAGTTCTCATTAAATGTTTCCCACTGAATCTAGCTGCAAACCTTGCTTTCCTGTCATTTAGCTTATATTCAGTAATTGATGTTGAATATATTGAACACAGTAACTGCCATCTGTAGTCTATATTACAAAACTCTCAAAATCATTTTACTCTATTATAAACTTTATTTTAAGATATTTTTGTCTTGTCACTCTAATTTGTAGCATATCCTTAATTTCTGCTTCTATTTCATTTAAAATATAATTCCTTTTTACTTGCCGAGTAATATTTCTGGTCCTAGTACACGTCTTATTCCTAGCAAGTCCCAAATAAGATGGAAGCTAAACAACACTAATTCAATCTTAAATGCTATTAAACTCAAAATTAAATATTGTATGAACCAAAGTTTTCAATCTACAGCATACTTATTAGACTTAAACTTAGCTAAAGGGGCAGAAGCAAAATCACTACAATAAATTTAATAATTCAGTTCATCTCAATATACCAACTGCCACTGCAAAAATCAATGCAAAAAATACAATATTTGCTCCTTGCTAATGTCCATTTTTGAATATTACCAAATCAATGGTAAGCAGCAATTCATTCAAAGAGTCCCAGCAATAATCATACCTGTTGTAATTATTACACCAGTGGTTCTTGGCAGGGTTCGAATTACATTCTGACTCTTGTGGGGTCTGTGGTGGTGACAGCTGGAAGCCAAAAGGAGTCGGTCACCACGACAGACCCCCCAAGACCTCTCATCTCTTATGGTGGGGCTCAGCCTCCTCCCAAGCTCCCCCATAATTTGAACTGTGGTTCTTGGTATGTTTAGATTTGAGGTATTCCTTGGGAAATGCCATCTCTTAGTTTCCGTTCTTTTTTTTTTTTTTAATACAGAGAATAATAGAACAGTTGTTTTCCCCCTGTTGCAAAGAAGCCCACAACTATGGATTTGTATTTGAAATATCTAGGTTTGTCTAGTGAAGCATGTTTGCGAACAGTGTTAACATTGGGCAATAGCCAGCCAACTTGAAGGATCTCAAAGCACCCCAGCGTGCCATGGCATCCTGGTTGAAAATGACTGCATTAAACTTCTGGAGAAGTCTGTCTTTGGAAAGAATCTGTCCTCTTGATCCAATTAAGATTTTGGATTAAAAAGACATTGGTATCCTGAAAAACACAATACTAATTTCAGGTTTTAAGCAAGCTATACTTCTTGACAACTGCATTTACTTGGATGTGGCCCTAGTATTAATGTGTCATTTCTCCTTTTTATAAAGAAGGACTGTGGAAGAGAGGAAGATGAAAAGAGATGAAAATGAGGAGTTCCATGCTATTAAGGAAAAAAAAACCCTCAAGGAAAAAAAGACAAGAAACTCCACCTTCTTACTCATAGATTTTCTGCCACAGCACTTGTAATCCCTGAAACCACCAACTCTAAATGTAAGAAGCAGGTCAGTTCCCCTGAACTTGTGGATGTTTCAAGAATCTCCACACGCTGCAGGAGAAGTTATTTACATGCAGGCAAGTGCCCATCCAGGCAATTCATTTAGTTCCCTGGTTGGTGCATTGTCACAAAATCCTTGCCAAAATTTCTCCAAAGGCTGCAGTTCTGGGAGAAGCAGATAATGTTGGTTCAAACAGCAGAAACCTTTGGGTATATTTTGGCTGAAAAAAAACAAAAAACAAAAATCAGCTTGAACATGGACGAAGGAAAGACAGGTCCCTCAGTTTCCTTCCCTGGCTCTGTTGCCTCAGAAATATGAAAAGCAATACGTGATTTTGCATGCAATAGGAAACATCCATAAATCTTATCCACCTCACCCCATAACTTTGTCTCTAACGCACTACATTATGCTTCACTCCATACTGTATATTGGCTGGAAGTATAACATTAACTGGAGGTGCATACTTAAAAGTATTTGACTTGAGTCACAACTTAGCTTTATCCCTTTTGAAGGAAATAGTAAAATTCTTGCTGATTTTTGGCAAAGCAAGATCAGGGCTGTAGGGAAGGCAGAGACTGAGTGAGATTCTGATATCTTGCTTGCTCAACACATCTCACTTCCCGCTGTAGATCCTTTATTTTTAAGCTGAACCCATTATATTTTCAAGCTGCCAAGAGAGCAGGTAATAAAGGTGCCATTACAAAATTGAAAAATGGAAAACAAGAATTGTAGGCCCCTACCACATTACATTTAAAATGTGATTAACCAGTTCAGTTAATCACATCTTAAGTAGTTACCTGGCCACACATTAATGCCAGTAACAGTATGATAAAACAAGGAATAATCCTTTGTGACTGGTTCATATCACACCATTTATTGAACATGTGGCCAGGCTGATTTGGGCTCCCAGCCTCCAGGGCATGTGGGAGCCTCCGACTCCCATGAGTTCCCAAGGCTGAGAGTGCTGATCAGCTGATTGCTGCTCCCAGCCTTGGAGGCCCATCAGTCTCTGATATGCACCTGAGGCTGGGAGCTGTGATCAGATGCTGCTGTCAGCTGTGGGGGCACAAAAGGAGTCCTAGACTCCAATCAGGGTTCCCAGCCTTTGAGGCAAAACTGGTGCCACGTGCTCCACTGTGTCCCCATGGCTGGGAGTCCCACCAGCCGCTCACAGCTCTCAACCATGGGATCTCAGGTTGCCCCTACACCATCAGTGGGGAATGATGGGATCTGATGCTCAATCCTACAAACATACATGCCTCCTACTATCCATGTCTGACATGTGAGAAAGTGTAACTATGGGGATTGTGCATCAGATCTCATAATGCCTTTAATTACAGGTATGCCAGGGGCCTTAGAGGAGCCATTCAACAATGCTGAAAGTCCGACCGATACTAAGGAACATTAATGTTATGCGCTGCTGATTATGGATTATGTTGGGTTGGGTTTTTTTTACATTTTACATAGAAACCACTTTAAATCAGTAAAATGTAGACTGTAGAGAAAAATGCCTATGTTGCAATCCTGAGTAAATAGGACATCTCAAGTAAACTATAAAAACAAAAAAAAGCAAAAATATCACTCACCAGTTTGCTCTCCGCATTACTCTTCCTATTCTTGTGTGTGGAAAGGGCACTGCATTTGGTACAACTGCACAGGCAGGAGCAAGCTCTGAAAACTCTGCGTATGTGAAGATCTACTTTTTTTCTCTCTTTGTGGCAGAGGAAATGAGAGATTGGGAGGGTTAGTGGCTGGGACAATCAGCAGCTGCACAGCATCCCAGCTGCATCTGCAGCTCATTGATGTATGAAGTGTAAGTGATTCTGCTTCAGAGCTGTTCTCCATAATGTCATCAGGCTTCCTTCCTTGTAGATGGAAGGCAGGTGTTCAGAGCATTGAGCCTTCCTGATCCCTACCTTCAGAACCTGTGTCAATAATAGATGCATTTTTTTCAGTTCCTTTTGAACTATCATTTTTTTAAAATTTCACAACATTACTATTCTCTTCCCATCATTTGCTTGTTCCAAGTTTATTAAGAAGTATAAAAGCTCATATGTTATTAAGGCTGTTGCTGACTTACATTTATTCTTTTCCTTGCTGCCTTCCTGTAGTGTGTCAATTATTGGCAGCCAGTTATTAATACTTCATTGTGAGACTACGTCACATTAAACTGATCTGGTCATATGCTGCTTTAATGAAATTCCTTCATAAAGTTAAGTCTGCCACTTAAATATGATGCTATTAATATGTAGTTTTCTAGATTCTTTGGGGGTTTTTTCCCCCTGTTTTTTAAACTTACATGTGGAAACCTCATGGACTTATTTACAAAGTCAGTATAACTGCTCCCTTTTTTCAAAAGAAAACATCACATGTTTTTGGGTTTTTTGAAATTGCCTCATCCTTCGTTTGGTTATATTCCTGACTTGTATCTTGCTTTTATCAATCAGCCAGCTACGTGTTTGTTTTTTTTTCTTTCCCCCAAGTGTACCATCATGAGCTGATACAGAAATTCCTTATTCTGTAATGCATCTCTGGTTTACATTTGGAACCATTTATCTTCTTTCATTTTGCCCTAAATAGAGTAAATAAAATATTTTTACAGCTATTGGCATGCTGCCTTATTTCACAACATGCGCGCAGTGTATTGGGGATTCGACGATGAAACAGACTTCAAAAACAAGGCAAAAATAAAACCTCAAACACAACTTGGTCTCATACATTTATGTCCTTCAATTAGGAAATGCTCTGAAAGAAGTAAGAATAAGATATTGAATTGGTAATGGAAAACTACTATAGTAGTGAAGGGAAGGAACTGAGTCAGAGGAAGGTTGAGGAGACTGCAGCAGGAATACAGATGTTTGGAGAAGTACCCTGCATGGGGTTTGACTCTGACCATGATTTTCACATTGTTATAGTTGAAGTCTTGTCAAGCTTCATTACCAACTGTAAAATAATTTCTATGCACAGTATGTGGTATAGCCAGAATAGCAAAATGAAGTCATAGTTGCACACAGAGACGGATACCTGCTTTTTCTTTTACTTGCATATTCTAAGAGAGGAAGGCAAGATAGGAGAGGCTGTAGTTGCTGGAAAACAAATTTATTTTGATAGTTTAACTTAAGCTCCTGCAATTGCTTTGTTCTCAGCACTGCAGCAATGCAACCCATTTACTGTGGCCTTCAGAAATATACAGATTACAAACTACCACTGTGTCATCAAGAAATGTTATTAGTTACATAATGCTGCGAAGAGCTAAAGTCATACCATGTACTGAGGGAGGTAGTTCAGAAGTACAAAGGTTTGTTGTTCCATCAGTTACAAGTTCCATATATTCTGCAGTGCCTTTCACACTGTCATTAATAATGGAAACATCTTTCACAAGTGCTAATGTGGACAGCAGCCTGATACACAATAATAGAATTGCTCTGATACACAATAACAAAAATAGCCACTGGTGCAACTGAATCAATGCCAAATTCAGATTAGCAGGAATCTGTTAATTTGCAGAAAAGAGCCCATAATAACAGTTAAATTTCAGCCAGGTTTTATTACCAGTGACTATTTTTCATAGTATACAGAATGCTGTATACTGCTGTAAAAGCTGTAAAGTTGATTAGAAAAATATATTTTGGCCGTTTTTTTCAACACAAAACACTGTTTTTGCTAAACCTGAACACTCTGAAAGTGGTAATTTTGATTACAATTCCTTAGGAAAAAATATGAAATAAAAAAAAATACATTTTAGATTGTTCAGTCTAAAATATGATGTTGTGCTTTTTTAGAAATGTCATTTCAATTTTATTTTAAATTTATTTTTATGTTATTTCATGACCTTTCAGTAGCAGTAGTGATTTGTGGTATCTGAACAGTATAATCAGAGGTATGATTAACAGGTTTTGCACCTTGGTGAAACTCCTCTGCACCCTTGGGGTCAGGGTAGGGGGGAAGGATACTAACCTCAGAGTGGAGGGAGGCAGAGTGGGGGAGGGAGAAGAGCAATCATTTTAACCTATCCTGGGGACTCAAAGACCTCTGCTGCTGCGGTGTCCCAGCTCCTATGGCCAACATAGGATGCTGTTGTGGTGTGGGGCTGTTCTGCCAAAGAATTCCTGGAAGGAGGAACGATGCTAGGGACCCTAACATGTAGCACAGCATCGACTAATTGCCCACTTGGCCAAACCTACCAGAGGCTCTAACTGGCAGGCAGCCTCACCCTGGATGATGCACTAGCTGGCAACTCTTAGTGCCTCCTTATTTGGCTGGTGGGGTTAAAGGCTCCCCATATAAGTCCATCTGCAGCAGACAGCAGGTTAGCCAGCAGTTCTGCCTGAAGGTCTGCTGTGCAAAGCCTGCCTGGATCTTGTGCTCTTTGGTTGTTTGGCTTCTGTACCTTCTCACTTCTGCTTCTGGACTCTGGCTTTTGAGAACTCTGCTCAGTTTTACCTTGGTCCCTCACTCCAGAACCCTGACTTGGCATATGACTTGGACAATGCCCTGGAATTTGCCCTTGGTTTTGGTAATTTGGACTCCAGTTCCTGCCCCGCTCTGTGACTCTGCTTCCCCCAGCTTCTGTCTTTGGCCCTTCTTGGTGGTCTGTGCTTTAGCCCAGACTGCCTATGACATGATCCTTACAGGGGGAAATGCCATTTCTGCACCACCTCTGACTTGGTGACCACGGTTATTGACCTTTTCATCCCCCAGTTATGCTGATGGACTTGACATAATATGCTACTTGTTACATAATTAAAGGTAGTTGCTATTTACTACAGATTGCTATGCAAGGAAAACTCTGATCTAGAAAAGATGGCTTCTCAAATATCTGATCTAGTGGTAGATTTGCTTATACAGGAAACCCTTGCTATTTGCAAATTTGTTATTCACAGGTTTGAATATTTGTGGTGTGCCGCACCAATGGGGTGGGTTGAGGTGAGTGCCGCGGCAGCTCCCTCTGGCGCTGCACTAAGCTCCTGCGTCTGTGTAAGCAGGCATGGAGTGGGGGAGGGCAGAGCTGGGGAGAGTGGAGCAGAGAGCAGCACCAGGCAGGTGGAGGGTAGAGCCAGGTGGGCGGAGAGTGAGTGCTAAGGATGGGGAGGGAGGCGGCGGCTGTGGCAGCATCTTCTCCCCTGGAGGCAGGCATGGTTGATCCCTAGGTGCTGTGGGGGAGCCTTGCACTTCAAGCTTCTCACTGGGGGGCAGTTGTGGGGTCTGATGTGGAGTCCCATCAGTATTCACGAATTTTGCCATTTGTGGGGATCTCCAGAACAGATCCCCTGCAAATGGTGAGGGTTTCCTGTATTGAAGTGGTTGGCTACAGATTAGGTTATCCAAATACCACTCACTTGTATACTGAACAGAATCCCTGTATTGGGTGATATGCCTCCGTAGCATCAGAAGCAGCCTAGCAGTTAACTTAGTTACCCTGAAGTTTTGTCTCTATTGCTTACCATCCTACATCCTCAATATTATTGTCTTCTGCCAGTCTACACGATTGGAACCTGGGATCGATCACCTACAGGTGGTTTCACAAAGTTTGTCTATCACTTCTCAGAGTCATCTTCTTAGCATGTTGCTATGACTTTGAGAGAGCAGAGCCCTCATTTTCCACATACTTCTTTCCAATGTCAAATTTATGACCAGCAAGTATCATAAGGAAAGTGGCTTCTTGCTGTGATCGTCATGAGCAGTGCCACTGCTTGACAATGTTCCATAGTAAATGTCTGCATACTAGGAAGTGGAAGATGTTTATTTTCTGCATTTGCTCAGTGCACAATAACTCTGGAACCTGATGTGGCATTCCTGACTTATTTCTTGCAAGTGGTCACAGTTGCCAGATGCCTCTGAACCAAATGCCCGTAAGGCAGGGGTCTCAAACTCACCTGGGGCCCTGGGCCAGATCTGGGCCCTGGGCTTCCTCATAGACCAGCTCTTGTCAGAGGCAAGGAGTGGCCAACTTTTCAATGGTGACAAGGAGTCTGGCAGCAGTGATAGGTCCAGGCAGGTGAGGGGTCTTGCAGTAAGGGCAGGTCTAGATGCAGTGGTGGTAAAAGTTTTGGCACCAGTAGATCAGGGGATAGAAGTTCACTAGCAGTGGGAGGGTTCTGGGGGCAGC